TGTCATATTTAAAAATCTATAAATAAATTTAAAGTCATGAAAATTTATCCCTATGTTTTCCTTTAAAATTTTATGGGTTAAAACCATGGAAAGACCCAAGATGTGCATCAACAGATGAATGGATAAAGAAGATGTGGTATATATATACAACGGAATACTATGCAGCCATCAGAAGAAATGAAATCTTGCCATTTGCCATGATGTGGATGGAACTAGAGGGTTTTATGCTTAGCAAAATAAGTCAATCAGAGAAAGATAATTATCATATGATCTCCCTGATATGAGGAAGTTGAGAGGCAATGTGGGGGGCTTGGGGGGTAGGAAAGGAATAAATGAAACAAGATGGGATAGGGAAGGAGACAAACCATAAGAGACTCTTAATCTCACAAAACAAACTGAGGGTTGCTAGGGGGAGGGGAGTAGGGAGAGGGTGGTTTGGTTATGGACATTGGGGAAGGTATGTGCTATGACGAGAGCTGTGAAGTGTAAATCTAGCGATTCACAGACCTGTACCCTTGGGGCTAATAATACATTATGTGTTAATAAAAAAATAAAAAAATTATTAAAAAAAAGAAAAAAATTATGGGTTAGCTCTTATATTAGGTCATTGATCCATTTTGAGTTCTCTTTCTATATGATGTGAGGTAAGGATACAATATTAATTTTTTTTAATGTATGAAAATCTGGTTGTCTCAGCACCGTTTATTGATTAGAGGGACTATTCTTTCCACATTCAGTGGTGTCCTCTGTGGAACAGGCTGTTGGGTCTGCACTAAGGAAGGCTTTGGGGCTCACAGAGGTCCCCCAATGCCAAAGCGTGAGGGGTCCTAGTGTCACTGGAGACCACAGTAGCACTCTTCATGTGGTCGACATGGAGAACCTATACTCTTCTTTGTTCTTAGTAGGGTTCCAGATGTCTCAGCTGCTGGGTTGATCCCTTCTGTGCAGTTATTCTCATGCTTCTGGTCCACAATGTTGCTTTGGATTCTTGAGCCCTCCCAGGGCCATTTTTGTTCATGGATAGCTAATTATTGTTTTATTGGGATGATGAAGGTTGGTATCTCATACTCTGCCATTTGCTGATGTCACTGTATAAAGGATTCTTTTCTAGGAAATATAAAGTGCCCTTAAAACACAATAATAAATAAAAACTACTCAAATAAAAATGTGAACCTTTGCCAAAGAAAATAGAAATGGGAAATACACATATGAAAAGATACTTAATAGAATTTTTTATTAGGCAAATATATATTAAAACCACAAAGATTATCATCATGTGTCTATTAAAATGGCTAACCAACCCCCACTCCAAACCTGACAGTACTCAATACTCTAAAAATTTGAAGTCACAGAAATCATAAGTCATTTTGCATTGTGGTAATGCAAAAGAGTGCAATCACTCTGAAAAACAATCTGGCAATTCCTTATCAAGTTACACACAGACTTGTCATATGACCCAACACTTCCACTCACAGGTATTTACCACAGTAAACTGAAAGTGCATGTCCCCAAAATGCTGCTTGAAAACATATATAACTTCATGGGGAATCACCCAGACTAGGAAACAACCAGGTATGCTCCCAAAGGTGAATGGTTAAGCCAACTGGTTGAGCAGTAAATGGGATACTATTCAGTAATAAAAAGATGTGAGCTCATGACTCTTAGAAGAGCATAAATGATTTTAAGTGTGGGAATGCAAGCTGGTGCAGCCACTTTGGAAGACAGTGTGGAGAGTCCTTAAGAAATTAAAAATAGAGCTGCTCTATGACCCTGCAATTGCACTACTGGGTATTTACGCCAAAGATACAGATGTAGTGAAGAGAAGGGCCATCTGTACCCCAATATTCATAGCAGCAATGGCCATAATCACCAAACTGTGGAAAGAGCCAATATGTCCTTCAACAGATGAATGGATAAAGAAGATATGGTCCATATATACAACGGAGTATTATGCCTCCATCTGAAAGGATGAATACCCAACTTTTGTATCAACATGGATGGGACTGGAGGAGATTATTCTGAGTGAAATAAGTTAAGCAGAATGAGTCAGCTATCATGTAGTTTCACTTACTTGTGGAGCATGAGGAATAACACGGAGGACATTGGGAGATGGAGAGGAGAAGAGAGTTGGGGGAAATCGTATGGGGAGACAAACCATGAGAGACTGTGGACTCTGAGAAACAAACTGAGGGTTTTGGAGGGGAGAGGGGTGGGGAGATGGATGAGCCTGGTGGTGGATATTAAGGAGGGCACATATTGGATGAAACACTGGGTGTGGTGTATAAACAATGAATCTTGGAACACTGGGAAAAAAATAAAATTAAATTAAAAAAAATTAAAAATAAATAAATAAATAAATGGATTGAATTGGAAAAAAAAAAATAAGTGAAAGAATCATACCAAAACCAGAAAGTGAAAGAGTCAGACCACATGTTATACAATTCTGTTCATATTATATTCTGAAGAAGGAAAACCGGTAAAGGATGGATGATAGTTCAGTTGTACCCAAGGGTTAGGAGAAGGGCAAGTTGTTGTCTATAAAGGGACACATGGGGGATTTCTATTTTATTTTATAAAGATTTTTTTTATTTATTTGACAGAGAGAGTCACAGTGAGAGAGGGAACACAAGCAGGGGGAGTGGGAGAGGGAGAAGCAGGCTTCCCGCTGAGCAGGGAGCCCAATGCAGGGCTCGATCATAGGACTTTGTGATCATGACCTGAGCCCAGGACAGATGCTTAACGACTGAGCCACCCAGGTGCCCCACACATGGGGGATTTTTAGAGTGATGGAATTATCCTGAATGGTGTTGGATTCCAGATACATGAATGGATGAATTTGTCAAAACCTATAAAGTACATCACTATCAGTGAACTTTACTCTTTACAAGTACAAAAAATCAGCTGGAAGGTGGGGGGAACCAGGATAAAATGCAGACTATTACAAAAGAACTATGGCACCGAAAGGGGAGGGAAAAAAGAACTGATATAATATGTTGATTGGAAATTGTCAACTCCACAGGCTAAAAATAGAAGGAACATTCCAGAAAGACTATACTGTAGTTGCCAAATTTGTTGCCTGTGGGGGTGCTAGTTAACAATTTTTGAAAGGCTTTACATATATAGTAGAGCTTAACAAATAAACTAGAGTTGGTCAGAGAATAAAGGGGAAAGGCTGAAATAAAGAGGATTATATGAAATTCATCACTACGAGGTCATGTTTCTCTCTCTCTCTCCATATAGATATCAATACAAAGAAGTGTAGATTTGATAGATTTTTTTGTATACACAGGTGCATATACACACACACACACACACACACATATTTTCTGTGTCTGCCTAGAGGGTCTAGAAGTGACTCCCCAGTAGCAATGAGAATACTCAGCCCTCAGATCTTGTTTCCTAAGTATAATTCTCTAATAAAAGGAAGCAGGGCTCTTTGGACAAATCACTGATTTTAGATCTGGGACAGGAAAAACACAAGATAAGCCCAGAGCAACTTGTACTTCCAGAAAGAAAAAAGCAAAAACAAAACAAAGCAAAACAAGCCAAAAACACAAAGAGAAGGACTGGGCACATCCAAAGGAAATAGAGGTCAAAGTGAAAGTGCACCCAGTGGCCAAGATGGAACAAGTTGATAAATACAACAAATAACATAATATGGAATTATAACCAGAGTATAATAATTCTGAGTATAATAAACTCTGAGTATAATAAACATGAGCCCATGCTGAGGAAAACAAACAAAAACAAAGTAAAAGAGAAGAGACTTCTTTGTTTTAGAAGAATTCTGAATAACATATTTGAGACTAAAGTATCCCTGCAGGAGGAGAACTAGCTGTCTCCCGGTATTTCAGAGAGAAAAATAGATAACACGATTTTTACTTAGTGCATTTATATTACACAGTTGAGGAGTTGGTAGTTTTCCACAGAAAAACTGACAAATTGCTTTATTATCAATTGATTCCCTTTTCTTATACTCTGGATATTTTTTCTACCAGTTCTGAAGACCTAAATATTAACTCCTTTAGGATGTTATATAGCTCTGAAAAAAATAAGTTAATACATAAAATCTACCTTTATGTAGAAATCCATATCATGTTCTTCATTTAGATGCTTGGAACAGTTTTTTAATTAGAGAAATATATAATCCACAATTAATTATTTTAACTTTTTATTAAAAGCTAGCCATACGGGGCGCCTGGGTGGCTCAGTGGCTTAAAGCCTCTGCCTTCGGCTCAGGTCATGATCTTAGGGTCCTGGGATCGAGCCCCCGCATCAGGCTCTCTGCTCAGCAGGGAGCCTGCTTCCCTTCCTCTCTCTCTGCCTGCCTCTCTGCCTACTTGTGATCTCTGTCTGTCAAATAAATGAAATCTTTAAAAAAAAAAAAAAAAGCTAGCCATACTCCAGCTCCCTCCTTTAACAAATTTCCCACTCTTGTGTGTATGTGTACATATGGATACTTGTATGCACTTCTCTCCATGGGTTTGAGTCTTGTTTTACATATATACGTGCATTAGAATATGGTGGGGAAAATGTAAACATATGAATAAATAAAATATAATTAATAAGGTTCCTGATAAGCATAATTATTAAATATTTAAGGTCCTCATGACTATACTTTTTAAATTTTTTTAAGATTCTATTTATTAATTTGACAAAAAGAGAGATCACAAGTAGGCAGAGAGGCAGGCAGAGAGAGAGGGGGAAGCAAGCTCCCTACTGAGCAGAGAGCCTGATGCAGGGTTCGATCCCAGGACCCTGAGATCATGACCTGAGCCAAAGACAGAGGCTTAACCCACTGAGCCACCCAGGCGCCCCCCTCATGACTATTCTTATCCAGATGTTATACAACTGGGTGTGCTATCTTCTATTTTACTGACAGACTTTTGAAGAGGAAAGTATCACATCAGTAATTTAAATGTAGTGTGGGCTATAAACCCTGATTAGTGCATGGAGAAGATCTGACAGGAATGAAACTAGGTCAGCGTGGATCCTACAGCCTAAGAGATGAAGCTTAGAGATGATATTGCCTTCTCAACAACCTTCTTGAAAGTGTTCTTGACCTCTTTATTTCTCAGGCTATATACCACAGGATTCAGCATGGGGATGACCATAGTATAGAACACAGATGTGATTTTGTCTGTGTCCATGGAGTGGCTGGAGCTGGGCTGGGAGTACATGAAAATGATTGTCCCATAGAAGATGGATAGTGCAGTGATGTGGGAGGCACAGGTGGATATAGCCTTCAGGTATCCCTCCACTGAGGGCATCTTCAGGATGGTGATAAAAATGAACAGGTAGGAAATCAAGATAACCAGGAGAGCAAAAAAGATGTGGAAGCTTGCCTCAAAGACAAGAATCAGATCACTGACATGTCTCTCAGAACAAGAGAGAGACATGACGGCAAGAGTATCACAGAAAAAGTGATGGATCACATTGGACTTACAGAAGGAGAGCCTGAAAATGATCCCAGTGTGGATAGAGGCATTCAAGAAACCACAGACATAGCAGCCTGTGGCCAGCCAAGCACATACACCTGTCGTCATGGTGGTGGTGTAATGGAAGGGTTTGCAAACTGCTGCATAGCGGTCATAGTCCATTGAAGCCAGGAGGTAATTTTCTGCTGTGGCAAAGACTGCAAAAAAGAACATCTGAGCAGCACATGCATTGTAGGAGATGACCTGGTCTCCTATAAGTAATCCAGCCATGACCTTGGGAATGACAGCTGTAGAGTAATAAAAGTCCACCAGAGACAGGTTACTGAGGAAGAAGTACATGGGAGTATGAAGACGAGAGTCCAACAGAATCAGCACCATCATCCCCAAGTTTCCAACCACATTGATGAGGTAAATGAGGGTGAATGTGATAAAAAGAGGGATCTGCAGCTCTGGGGCATTAGTTAGTTCCAGCAGGATGAGCTCAGTCACCTCTGTGTTGTTCTCCATGGATGTTGTTTGGGAATCACAAGATACCCTGTAGCAATGGAAAAAAGAGGAACAGAGTCATAAACAAATAAAAGGTTGAAGTGAAACTCATTCAGTATTTTGTGTGTGTGTGTGTGTGTGTGTGTTGTATATACATGGAATATTTCATTATAGCAAGCATTTGTACTTGCAAGATACTCCAGATCTAAAGTATGGACTAGACAATGAAAGTTAGGGCACAAATTATCTGTAGAGTTTGACACTGTTGAAGCTGAAAGATCTTCATGGATTATTTTCCAAGTTTTCAATTTTGTAAATTTGTAAATAGAGGTATAGAAAATGTAGTGTCTTGATTATAATAAATCATCTTAAATGAAACTGTCAATTCAGTTTGTCTGAGCCTAGTAAATGCTTATATCTATTGTTCTTATGTGCTAGGAACTGCTCTAGACACTTTAGATAAATATTCATTTATTACTCTTAACAAACCTGTGAGATCGATTACTTGTTATCCCCATTTAACTCATGAAGCACAGAGCTTGAGTATCGTTATTTTTAAGTTTGTGCAATTATTACTGCCAAAGCCAAACTTTGTGCCCCGAGTGATTCCCAGGTCCACTGGTCTCAATTGAATTAACATCACATTGGATGTAACTCAGTGAATCATCACTCTATATCTCCAATGTCCTAAACTCAGTGTTTGGGGTTTCACATCGTACTATTAGAGAGTACATGCATAGTACATGTGCAAGGATCATGGCAGCAACAGAGGCCTGGACAACCACTGGAGGCAGTCTGAGGGAAGGGCATGAATCCAGTATAAAGGTTGGGTTCTGGGACCAGGAGCATGTTAGCCCTACTGTTCACTCTCAAGGAGTCATTGGTCCAACTTAACTCCCCTACATCTTCGTCTGTTTTGCTTCATCTACAAAATGAAAATAATAATGAGACTTTACTCAAGGTATTATTGTAAGAATTAAGTGTTATATAAAAACCAGGGAGCACAATGCTGAGTATTTAGCACAGCCTGATCAGTATAAGGTATACTATTAGTATTAGGATGGAATTATAGCCTCTCTGTTGGTTTCAGAAAGGCCAGTGGTCATCTTCAAGGCTCAGTGGGGAGGGATGTTAAGCGGCTGGCTCCCTCTTCAGTATGCCTTGTATCACACAGTTGGTCAGCTGGAATCTTCTAAGTCCTCAATGTTTCTCAGTCTGTTCACCTTCTGCTTGCATGAGTGGCTGTTCCAGATACTGTATGTGAGCCATTGTTTCTGCTTAATTTCTTTCTTAACATCCATGATTTAGCTTGGGCTGAAAGTGTCCCCTTTCTTTCAAAAATTTTTAAAAGATTTTATGTATTTATTTGAGAGAGAGAGCATGAACGGAAGTGGGGGTGAGGGGCAGAGGGAGAGGTAGAAACAGGCTCCCCACTGAGCTGGGATCCCAGCACAGGTCTGGATCCCAGGACCAGGAGATCATGACCTGAGCTGAAGGCAGATGCCCAACTGACCGAGCTACCCAGGTGCCCTGAAAGTGTCCACTTTCTTAAATTCTTTTATTCTCTTATTACTGTTTTCTCACAGGTGAATCACAGGAATCAATGGGTGGAAGTTTGTTGGTGTCTTTAGCTTATAGATCTGTGTTTTGGCCAATTAATGTCTTTTTAAAAAATATTTGTTTGTTTGTTTATTATTTGACAGAGGGAGAAAGAGTGAGCACAAGCAGAGGGAATGGGAGAGGGAGGAGCAGGCTCCCTGCTCAACAGGGAACCTAAAGCGGAGCTCGATCCCAGGACCCTGGGACCATGACCTGAGCAGAAAGCAGATACTTAACCGATTGATCCAATCAGATGCCCATAAGGTCTTAACATAATTATTTGAGGGTAATCTTGTATGCAGGAGTCTTGTTTTTAATCTTTACATTTGACTTGGAAGCCTTTAGAAGGATGTTTGTCACTTGTTAATCATTGGCTTACTGCAGTCCTCCTTAATTCTTTTGACAGACAGTGAATGAGATAAAATTAACATCTACTCAGAGCATCACCTACCCATCTATTTTTATTAATCTCTTTTAGGAGAGTAGCATAATAATGTTTCACAATCATCACTAAACCCCCTACAGATGGAAGTTTTGATACATATGTCCAGCCTCAACTCACTGCTTTAGAAATTCATTTCTGTGCTTAAATAATTTGTAGCAGGGATAGATGCCCTATTGGTTTTGCTTGAATTACATGTATCACTAAAAGTGTAGATAGAACATAGAAGCTTACCTTGCTGCTGGAAAAGAAGGGGAAGAAAATACTGAAGAGTGAGTTTGGAATCAGAAATTCAGCCATGGGATGATGCATACATACTGTGAGAGATATACTGTATCAGGTGCTGGTCAAATAATTCCAAGATCTTTAAGGTAAACGAGGGGAAGAACACAACATGGAGCCAGGAACCGTGTTCAATGCTGAATCCACCATGCATTCTTTTATACCCTTGGAGGAGTCTCTTATCTTCTTATCTCCAAAAAAGGCAGAAAATTTCCTCTCCCACATAATTCAAGGAATAGTATTTGTGGATAGCAAATGAGTCATCCTCTATAAAACATCTGTCTGATGGGTTATCATTCTAAAGTCAATGAATATGCCTTCATCTTGAGCTGTTTTCCTTGGTCATGACTGGAGATTCATGACAAAGTCTCAGGTTAGGATTAGGGGGTGGGAGGAAAGTGACACATGTATTAATGCCCATCAACATTCAGACAAATTCATGATGGCCAAGGGGGCTCAACACATGTCTGGTCCTTCTCAAATGAGGTTACACTGAGTTATCTTGGGAATTTTAGAGACTAACTCACGAGGATCAGGAGGGAATTCCAGAGACATGAGCTCTCTGGGGATGTCCCTCAGGAGGGCATCTGTAACTCTTATTTTCCTAGTAAAGAATCAATTAAATTGCCTATGGGGACTTGGTTGGATATGTTGAGGGTGCATGCATGTTTTTGTATTACTTGTATTTTTGGTTTTTTCCCCTTACTTTCTAATTAAAGTGTAATTTACAAACAGTAATTTTTATAGATTTATAGTTTTTATTGTTTTTAATATAATTTGATTATAATATTTTAACAATATTGTATAATATATAATATATAATAATTTAATTATATAATATTAAATATATAAAATAAATTTAATTTAATTATAATAATTTGATAAATTTAATATTATTAATTAATTTTAATTTAATAAATTCTATAAATTAATTAAATTAATAAATTTAGTAAAGAATAAATTAAATCAATAAATTTAATAAATTTATTAATTTTAATAAATTCTTTGACATCAACCCCTTTCCTACCTAATGTCAATGGTGTCCACTGAACCATTTTCCAAATATATTGCTCTGCCTTTGAAGAGGGTCATTTAAAGAGAATCTTAGCACATGGGACCTATGCTAAGGTCTGGCTTTGACTCTGGCTACTAGCATTAAGCATTTGAGACCCATCCATATTGTTAGCTGTATTAATTTCCTAGAGCTGCCATAAAAAAGTACCACAAACTGGATGGCCTGTATAATAGAAATTTATTGTCTTGCATTTCTGGAGGCTAGAATTCTGAGATCAAGGAGCTGGCAATGTGGTTCTGTTGGTTCCCTCTGAAAGCTATAAGGGAGCCTCTGCTTCATGTTTTTTCTTTAGCTGCTGGGTAGTTTGTTGGCTGTCTTTGGAATTCCTTGTTTTCTGTTGCCTCATCCTGATATCTGTGTTCATCTTCATATGAAGAGACATTGCGTTATGTCTCTCCAAGTTTTCCCTTTTAAAGGGAAAGACACCAGTTGTATTGATCTAGAAGCCCAATCTGTTCCAGTAGGACCTCATTTTAACTAATTACATCTGAAATGCCCCTATTTTCAAACAAGATCATATTCTGGAGTACTGGGGGTTAGGACTTCAACATATAAAATTTAGGAGACACTATTCAATCCATAATATATTAGTAGTAAATTGTTTTTTTCATTGCTGGCTATATTTTATTATATGGACACTATGGATTATTTGTCCATTTCCCACTTAGGGGACACTTGTATTCCAGCTAATGTCTCAGAATTAGGAACAAAGTATAGCTAAACATTTGCCCAATATTTTTTCATAATCTAGATTTTAATTTCATTTGGATAAATGTCTCTAATCTGGATTGCTAGGTCAGATAGTAAGTATATGTTTAGCTAAATGGAAACTGCCAAACTATTTCCGACTAACCACATGGAGAGATCCTGCCCCTTTCCAGACAACCTGTTATGAACTTATACTATCATATGTGAAAAACAAATCGGTAATACACTGTATAATCATCCCCATGTGTCTGATCTTTTTGGCTGGAATATGTAATGTTTTCCATATAACAAAGTCTTTGCTATTATGGGTAACTTAAAGTCACAGAGATGGGAGATTATCATGGGTTAATTTTTGCATCCTAAAGGAAATATTCAGCATCTTATAAGAGAAAGGCAAATCTATTTCAAGTTTATCTTTGTGCATGGTGTGAGGGAATGGTCAAGTTTCATTCTTCTATACATAGCTGTCCAATTTTCCCAGCACCACTTATTGAAACTTGACCATTCTCTCACACCATACACAAAGATAAACTTGAAATGGAAAGAACCAAGATGTCCTTCAATGGACAAATGGATAAGGAAGATGTGGTCCATATACACTATGGAGTATTATGCCTCCATCAGAAAGGATGAATACCCAACTTTTGTAGCAACATGGACAGGACTGGAAGAGATTATGTTGAGTGAAATAAGTCAAGCAGAGAGAGTCAGTTATCATATGGTTTCACTTATTTGTGGAGCATGGAGGACAAGGGGAGTTAGAGAGGAGAAGGGAGTTGGAGGAAATTGGAAGGAGAGGTGAACCATGAGAGACTATGGACTCTGAAAAATAATCTGAGGGGTTTGAAGCGGTGGGGGGTGGGAGGTTGGGGGAACCAGGTGGTGGGTATTAGAGAGGGCATGGATTGCATGGAG